CGGGGAGCCCCCTCCCGGGGGCCCCAGCAGCAGCGTTGCGCCACCCCCTGGGGGCCCCAGCAGCAGCGGGGTACCCCCCTGGGGCCCCAGCAGCAGCGAGGGGCCCCCCGGGGGCCCCAGGCCTCCTCTGGCGGACCATCTGGGGGCTCCGGGGCCCCCAATGCAAGCCCCGGATAACGGCGGTGCTGCTGCAGGCACGAGGGGCCCCGGGGGCCCCCCAGGGTCTTCAAGGGGCCCCATTGGGTGCCTAGATGCTCTGCCTTTCCAGCAAGCGGAGAGGGCCCTGAGGCTGGAGCAGCAAACGAGCAGGGACCCGCTGCAGCAGGAGGAGCTGCTGGTGCAGCAGGAAGTGCTGCTGCGCAAGGTGAAGCCCCAGGCGCATGCAGCAAAGCTGGGGGCCCTCGAGCTGCTGCTGCAGCAGCACCCCCAACTCTATACTTACCAGCAGCAACTCTACAGCTTCCCAGGAACTCGCCAAGAAGAAGCTGTGGGCGCGCTGGTGCTGCTGCCCCTGCGGGAGCTGTTGGCCTTTAAACGACTCCGCAAAAGTAAGTGCAGCAGCAGCAGCAGCAGCGGCAGCAGCTGCAGCAGAGCTGCGGCGGAGTTGCTGCAGCAGAGCTGCAGCAGCTGCTGCTTAGCTCGCCTTCAGCGGGTGTGCCGACACGCCTCCCACTGTGTCCGCATATCTGCTGCTGCGTGCTGCTGCTACGTGTTGCTGCTGCGTGCTGCTGCTGCATGCTGCTGCTGCGTCTAGCTGCTGCCGTGTCTACCTGCGGCCGCTCCCTGCTGCTGCTGCGCCCCACTGCAGCTCCCCACAGCTGCCACTGCGTCCACCTTCCTCTCCCAAGAGCTGATCCTTCCAGCAGCTGCTGCTGCGCGCTGCTGCTGCGTGCTGCCGCTGCTAAAAGTTGCTGGTTCTAGTAGCTGCTGCTGCCGCTGCTGCTGCTGCTTCAGTGGGCACATCTTTCAAATGCATTTTTGCTGCAGACTGGCGCGTGGGAGACCCTCTTCGAGTTTATTTTTCTTATGTCGAGAATGGGGAGCTTCACTTGGAGCGGCCTCGGGGCCGCCAGAGGCCCCTAGGGGGCCCCCAGGAGGGGGGGCCCCCCGAGGCGGGCCCCCCGGCCAACAGGCCCGCCTTTGTTTGGTGCTCCGTCTTCCCCGCTGTACCCCTCGAAGTTGCACATTTGCTGCTGCAGGACATGCCGGCGGGGCCCCTGGCCCCTCACTTAAAAATGCTGGAGCAGCGGCAGCAGCTGCAGCAGCAGGAAGAGCATCAGCAGCGGCTGCAGCACATTCGGCGGCACCACGAAGAGCTCGCCAGGGACCGCGCCCTGCGCAAACAGCAGCAGCAGCAGCAGCAGCAGGAGCCGCAGGAGGAGGCTGCTGCGAAGGGGCCCCCAGGTCGGGGGCCCGGCGCGCGGGGCAAGACAGACCCCCAGCGGGGAGGGCCCAAGAAGGAGGCGCAGCAGCAGCAGCAGCAGCAGCTGCAGCAGCTGCTGCAGCGCATTCCCGTGAATCCCCTGTGGTGGGCCCGGGGAGACTCGCTGCAGAGAGAAGTGCTGCTTTGCCAAACCCTAGGCCCTTACTTCTATCGGCAGCTAATGCGGATTCGAGCACAAGAGGAAAATGCAGACTCTGTGGGATTTAAACGCCGGACTGTTGTGGATTCCCGAGGAGAGCCTTTTGAAGACCTGACTAGTCAGACAAACTCTGCTGTTGCTGCTGCTGCTGCTGTGCTGCTGCTGCTGTGCTGCTGCTGCTGCTGCTGCTGCTGCTGTTTGTGGGGTCTGCCCTGCTCCTGGGGAGCAGCAGCTGCTGCGCTGCGCCCCACGTTGCGCCCTTTGCAGCTTTCGCAGCAACGTGGCTCTGCTGCTGCTGTTGCTGCTGCTGCTGCTGCCCCTCTGCATGTAGCAGTTTCGAGCCGTTTTTCTCTTGTTGCTGCCCCGCGCGTTTGCTGCAGACTGGCTAGCCACCCTGGAACTCCGTCTTCAACTAAAACCCGTTTTTGTTCGAAAGTACACCAACTCCCTGCGCTGCATGCTGCAGCTGTTGGAGCCCCGCGACTACCCTGAGGTGAATTGCCGGGGCTTCTTCGCAGCAGCACTAAAGCATTCCTTTAGTTTTTTATTCCATTTCTTGGCTTTGGGCCCCAGAAAAAGTGGAAACAAATAAAGGAATTAAAGGCAAAGGGGCCCCGACGCTGGCTGTCTTTTGCTGCCAGCAGCGCAGCAGAGCTGCAGCAGCAGCAGCAGCAGCACGACGAAACCTGCAGGCCAGCGGGCTCAGGCGCAGGCAGCTGGGGCTGTCGAAAGTCATTTTTTGGCATTTGTTTTGAACTTTGTTGCAGGCTTTTGAGCGTTTTGAAGTGGAACAAGTTGTGCCGGAGGAAACAGTGAAAGAGCGAATTGCTGCAGCAGATGTTCCAGAAGAAGTCAAAGCTTCGCTGCGGAGCTTTCTGGTGCTGCGCCGGAAGATCTTGCGCGGCCTGGCGAAGCAAAGAGCTGCTGAGGAGGACTTGAATGGTCAGGAAGGATCTGCAGCAGCAGCAGCAGCAGCAGCACAAGGAGGTGAGCCGCTCGCAGCAGCAAAGTCGCCGCTGCTGCAGCTCATCCGGCTGCACAGCTTCCTCAGGCTGCAGCTGCGCCCGCAGCAGCGAGCGCCTTCGCTGGAAGAGTGGCAGCGGCAGCAGCAGCAGCGGGAACTTCAAAGACGAATGCAGAAGAAGTCCCATGTAGCTGTGGCTTCGCCAGCTGACGAAGATCTCATGGGGGTACGCCTGGACCCGCAGTTCAAGTTCGACTCCGCTAGCTAGCTAGCCGGCTAGCTAGCTAGCTAGGCTAGCCCAGCCAAGCAAAAAGTCTATTCGAAAGCTTAGCCACACACAGTGTTTGCTTGCTGCTGCTGCTGCTGCTGCTGTAGTGCACGTTTTCTCGTGCAGAAATGCAAGCCGTAATTGTGCCTTCTTGTTTGGTTTGGTGTCAGACTACGGAAGATCTGCCGCAAACACAGCTGGAAATGGGAGATCGAAGCGAATACGACAGAGTCGACAAACTCATAGATGAAGTGGAGCGGCAACTAATAGAAAGCTCGCCAGACGAAGAGGCTGAAGAGGAGGGAGCCTCTCCTTTGTTCAACAAAGCCTACCGCTCGGCTGCCGTTCGAAAGCCCCGCAGCTTCTACAACTACTTCGGCGAAGAAACAGTGCCTTTGCTTGAGACAGACCCAGACGACATCCTCTTGAGGCTTGCGGGATCCTCCAGTGCCTCCACAGAACATGAAGCCTTCCTGCCTCTTCTGTTTCAAGACCCAGGAACAGCCCCCCACGCAGCTTCGCCAATCCCGCCAAACCCTCCGTAATGTGTTCGTAATTATCTTTTCAAATTCTCTAATCATTCCCAAAAGCAAACCGGCTGCCCGCCAGCAGTCTCAGTGGCGCACCATGCTTTGCATATTTCGTTGCTGCTGAACTTGAACTAGGAGTTGCTGCGTGCAGTTCCTGGGCAAACAACTCTAAGTTTTTCACACAAGTGCCAGTCTGCTTGCATTGTTAGTGCACTTGAGGCAAACAACTTTGGCAAACAACTTTCGAGCACCTGTGGCTCCTGCCAGATTTTTTCAACCGAAGGATCTTTTGCTCTTTGACGGCTGACAGAGATCCGCCTAAAGGTGTCTTAGAAACTTTGATCTGCTGCAATGCAGAAAACCCCGACTCTTGCCACTCGCACTTCTAATGACACATATTAAGTCGAAACATGCATTTGATCGTGCTTTTAGGCAAAGCTCGCTGTCTTCTGCGAGCAGCAATAGTTGCAAGTTGCACTACTTGCATGCTTAAAAGCGATACCACATTTCAAAGGTCAGAGATGTTGAAAGACAGATTTGCCGGCAACTTGTCACGCACTGCGACTTTGTAATAGGAGCATTTTTATCGAGCTGGTACAACGTCGAGGGAAAAGTTCATTAACATTTTGCTGTTGTCTCTCCATATGCAGTAGTGCGACTTGACAATAATAACAGACTTCCGCACTGTTTCACAAGCAGCCGCGGCGCCATGCAGACACTATTTGTGAGCTTTCTCACAAATGCTTCAAAGCTCTGGCCCACTTCACTTGCAAATGTGCCTATACAACTCCACGATCTAGCCCTAGGTATTTGTTATAGAGTTCCGTGTAGACTCGTGCAAGAACACAAACGCAGCAACTCTTCTGCCTGCAATTCGACTCCTCTATGTGGCAACTCACGCACACTTTCAAAGTGTACTCTGGGGCTTTTCCCCAGAAGATCCCTGTTCCGTATCTTCAGCACACCTTGGGATTAATTGTCACTGTCCAACAGTGCATTTAAGAACTACCAACCCCAGAGGCATATCCTCCCTCACGGGTATTTTCCATCAGAACCCCACACCCCTCCTGCGTGTCAGCATTTGCCACTAAACGGGTCTTCTTGATCCCGTTCCAAAGATCTCCACCTACTCAGCTGCCTACATACGCATCTTCTGCGTGCGTGTAAACTATACTCGGGCAAGAATTCTCCACCAGTTGCCTGGGAGAACTGACCGGAGGCATTATCAATAAGGAGGCTAGAATGCTAACAGACAAAAGAACATGGCCAAGGGTTTTAACGATGAAGAAGCAGGGAAACACTTCAGCGTTCTGCCCATAAAAAAGCCCTGCGCGCGTAGAAAGAACCTGTTATGCCTGGGTGCTGAGAAACGGCAAAGTTCCCCTCCACTAGAGGGAGTCCCCTTTGCTTACGTATTCCCATCATTCACATACTGCCATGTCTTTGTTCGTGTAGGATATTCTCTCGCTGCGGTAATGCTGCATCTGATTGTCAAACCGAGCTGATATACATTTCCAGCTAAGTCACTCACGGACACGCCACAAACAGCTGGACGATACGACGAGGAACACCCGTCAGCGGAGCCGCCAGCAGTTTATTCCGCGGGGATTGATCCGGAATCAAAAAAATAATTGTTCTGCAAAAAATTCGTTTCAATGCGTAAGATGACCATGCGTTGCCCCAAGGAGGTCTTCGATGTAATCGCTCAGCATGGGGTCTTGTCGACGGGTCTTATCCTTCCCCGTGACCCGCAGATACAATTTGAGCCTTCGTTGAACACCTCTGTGGAAGAACAACTTCTTCATGTATATTCCACTTCATACTATGTTCCTCCCAACGGTGCGGTCCTTGATATTTCCCAAGGATCATGAAGATCTGCGGCAGCTGCAGTTCGACTAATGTTTCTCGTGCTCTGATCAGCACTTCACGAACACTGCTGAACACTCACGAGGCTCTGGGGCAGGCCAGAAAAAACTGTGGAAACTGATATTGCCCCTACATCTTGGCCACGAATGACGCTGTGCTCTGCGGATGTAAGTAAGAGCCCAGAACTATCTGGTCTGAACTCATCCAATTCCCATGTGTATCAAGCAAACACTTGTCACGGAACCACCACTCGGTGTGCTCCCTCGGGCAGTGCATATGCACGGGCCGGAAACTTCACCCCCAAACTCTGTGCCGCCTGCCCACACTGTATTTAGCATAATACAAACTTGAAACATTTGCGTAATTCCATTTCGAAATGTTAATTACACGATCACTTGACACCCGCACATTCCTACGCTCAATGCGTGAGTACGTGCGGTCTCAAGTTCCCCATTTCTCACTTCCCCTGACTCTTGAGAGCCGTTGACAGCTTCCGTAATCCCCAAAAGCGCATCCATGCAACGCTGGCGGAGCGTTCCCCGAGGTTTTCCTCCGCGGTTCCTCCCGTGCTCGTGCCGGAAATCCTTCGGGTCAATTTGACAATATTCTGGCAAGCCCCACCGTCCACAAAGTCTCCGTTTGGCGGTATCCTCCAAACAACATAGACGATCTTTCTGTTCATTTCCATCATACATGACCCTCTCTCCCGTGTACACAATAGCCAGCCCCCTCCGGAGCATTTCCTCACTTGCATCCACCAAACCACTGATATTGTCCAGTCGTATTTCATGCAGACACTGTAAAATTGTGGACTGCAGGCCCTTTACCTTCTTCTCAGATAGCCTCTTAACAGCCTCCACTACACCTTCGACCCCAGTCGTGGCCAGAGAACCCTCCACAAGCCCCTTCCCGCGCATTCTAGAAAGCAATGCGGCAAAAAACTCCTTATATTTGTGTTCCTTATCTACCAGACGGTCAGATACCGCGGAAACGAAGATTCGCCCAATTAGTCGCTTGTAGCGATCTCTCCCCAAGTTCTTCACAAGCACAACGCGCCCCAATACTAACTCTGCGAGGGCTCGCGTGGCCGCTACTCCAAGTGGCTGTCCACCAATATCTAAGTCAAAACTGCCATAATCTACTGTCTGTGTGTAATCGCAGCGACCTGTATAGCGATGCCTGACTCCACCAACACGTACTTCGGGTGCATCGATACCATAAACTTGCGTAAGAATGGAGCGGGTATCCATCGACATTTTTTCCTCACTCTTCTCTTCACTCGACCAAGAACTCAGCTCCACTTCTGGGTAAAAAGGACAATCCATAATCCATCTTGTGGATCCGCTCATCGCCGCTTTGACTGTCGACCTCCTTTGCCTTTCTGCAGGATCAACATGTATTCTGACAGCCTCGTCCGAAAGAACCGGAACCAAACGAACAGTATCGCCGTCAACAACCCGGACGACTAAGGCCGCGAAAATGAGTCCCTGACTCATTTGATCCCCACGTTTCCTCGACCCCCCCTCAGGGGCCAGTGCATGGTTAAGTAGCTGCGCGATCAGCAACGCTGGAAAGTCACTGCGCTCTCCACTGAAACGGCGACGGCGACGGTTAGCTACAGGCAATTTTTCAAACAAGTCGAAGGGAAGACTCCACACTCCTCGGCTCTGCGTCTCGGCTCCCTCTTCGACAGCCAGCATATGTTGCTCCGACTGGACTCGGTTTTCTTTGGAGGACTTGCATAGGGTCTCTGCACCCACCCACGCAAGCCCGCGAAACAACATGACATGTGCCACGTCCGTAACGGCCATTGTAGGAGGACAAACGGAGCTGTCGAAAATTGTTCCGAAAAAGAATGTCAAGATGTCCTCCACTCCCTTTGCACCTCGCCGTTTCATGATCAGCCGCGATATTGCTTCCACGCGGCCCCATTCGCCTTCAGATTCGGGCAAATTCTCCAATGGTCCATGAAGTGCACGTTCCCTCGCCACGGCCCTGCTCGCCAGAAGTCTGTACAGCTTCGCCACTTTGCAATTCCCCTCGACTTGAGAGTTACAAACGGCAGGCAACAGCATCCTGCCGTGCCAGCCTCCATCGCCGTCTACACTGTCTATTTGCAGCAGCACCACCCTGCCCAGTACTAGGTCTGAGAGCGAAGCAGCAGATGCAGTACCCATTGGTTCCGCTTGCAAGTCCATGTGTTGGCTTCTGTAAACCCTCAATAAGGAGCACGAGCTAGGGTCCGCCAAATGCGCCTCATTAAAATCAACACGCGGGGCTTCTATGCCTGTCAGCTGAAAGAGCTGCTGCTTCAGGTTGGCATTACCAACAGCGCATTTGATACAGCACTGCGGCGGCTCCTCCATGTTAACATAGACTATCGATGGGACCCTCAACGCAGCTGTCACTGGCGGCACTTTAGCGGCTTCATCCTCGTCCATTAGCGCTGAAAAGTCTCCAGCAGCGCTTATTGGCATGCAGCGGACGGTTCTGCCGTCGACGATCTCACTGACCAGCGCCGCCTGATAGCATATTCGCCTCTTCTCTAGCACTCCTGCAACAGTCCTGCCTTCTGATTGCCCCTCATTGCCCTCCTGTCCATTTGTTTGTGAGTTTAGAAGCACTGCCAGGTTCAACGCGGGTAATTCCAAGCGTTCCCCCTCATCTTCTCCAGTCACAGCCACCATTGTACCGTTCCTATATTCGTGGCCTCTATCGTTAGCTGAAGTGGCTCTGAGTTCGTCGAACTGGTGAAGCCCGTAACATTAAATTTTACGGGACTCAAATCCTATTGGCTTCAACGTGTTACTCCCTCAGACAGTGTGCTCCTGCGGGGCAGCGTGAGACCCCACAAAGGTGAGCTTACGGCTTCGCCAGCAGCCCAGCACACTCTGGCCCCTTGTCTTCGTGCATCCATTGACCACGCTGACCATTGGTCACCTTGCGGAAACTCCCGCCTGCGTTGCTTTAATTACCACGAGAAGAAGCCATTAAAAAGCTACTTTAAATTGGTTTCGCTCAATTCACTTCACTGGAACAGCTGTGAACCCAACGCTTCTGCGTGGTGGGAAACCGATGCTTTTGCGTCTCTGGCTCGCGGACGTCGACTTGTCTCGGCGCAGCGCGCCTTGGCGAACGCGGCGCTCGCGCAACAAATCGCGTGAAATCTGGGTTTCAATTTCTGAAAATACCAATTAGGAAAACTCAATTGGCAATGTAAGTGTTTGGGGGCGTTTCGCCGCTTCCCCGGAACCTGCGAGCTCTCAGTTGCAGCTTTAGTGGCCGTATCACGGTGCCTTGCTGGTCGTGAAGTCAACATCTGGGATACCCATGTGGCCTATGGGTCAGTTTCTAAGAGCTCCTATTAGAGTAGTGCGTAGCACACCGCCTCTCGGGCAGGCAACTTCGGCTCAACGGAAAGCCAGCTGCCGACAGGGGCCTCACGCCGTAGTCGGTGCCACACAAAAGCCCATTAAGGTATGAGAGTATTCGCATATTTCTTGAAATATCAATTCGGGAGATGAGGCAGCGCGCCGGAAGGAGCAACAAAAACGGGTAGTCCACATATCATCGGGAAGACAAGCTGTAGATGTGCTGTACAGTTGGGAATGCGCTTCGGTGTACTTGTTGTGCATTATCGTTCAAAACCCCGAACAGCTCTGCGTACTTGAGTAGCGTTTACGGCGTTTACAAACAAGAGCCCCTTAAACTTGAACAGTGTGCCCTTAGACCCAAAAGATGGTCTATTCACCCCTAACAGTGACCAGCTGCATGCGCACTACGCTTAGGCTGCAGCCCAGCTTTTTCGCAACAAGTTGCACGGCGTCTGCCACAGTCAAAGGACCATCATTTCCATCACCTGTGGCATTTGGCGCTGCCGCCGTCTCGGCTAGAACACACTTACGGGCCTGCGCCATCATCAGAAACTCTTGCGTCAGAAAGCCCTGATCCTGCAGACAGTGCTGCAGCAGCTGCGAAACATTTGAAGGCATCGCAGCCTTGGCCTCTGGAGTGGCGGCCTCATTTGCACTTTTGGCGGCGGGTTCCGCAGCGGCTGCGTGCTCCTTCTCAGGAAGAGAAGCTGGAATGGAATCCGCAGAAAGATACTTCGCCTGAGTTGCAACAGCCTGCATCGCCAGAAGCTTTGCAAACTTGAACAGGCGATCCCGCAAAGTCTCATTTTGCGCTGCTGCTGGGACACCCTCCACTGCCCAGCAAAGTTCAACAACTGCAGCAGCCCGGCCCACGCCGGGCGCCACTTCCCCGTGGACATAGGCATTGACACAGGAATTCAAGTTTCCCTGGAAGTGCGTTGCAGCAGTCACATCAACTTTCTCTCCGAACTTCGCCGCCAGCTCCATCAAGAGTTCGCCAACGGAGCCTCCGGGGCCCCCGCTGCCGCCGCAGACGGAAGAAGACAGGCTTTCTGAGGCCTCTGAACTCCGCAGCTGCTCGAGATCCGGAGTGTCTGCGCTATGCGCTGACAAATGTGCAAAGTGCTCGGCCAGAGCCTGAGAAAAAGCCACGAATTGGGGGGTCCTTTGAACGAAATCCGTTTCGCAGTTAAGCGCAACTGCAGTCCAGCTGTTTTCTTGCACAGAACCGAATACAGAAACCAACCCCTCGCAAGCCTTTCGGTGGGCTGTCTTCGCCGCCTGCGCGATGCCGCTCTTGCGTAGATACGCAACAGCCGCCTCCTCGTCCTGCAGCAAGAGCCAGAAGCAATGCATGCACAAGCACATAAGCAAAGTCCAGGGTCAAAGAAGGACTTGTGATTCACGTTCAAGCTGCAGCGAAGCGAGGCAAGCGCCAACAGGCAATGCAGGGAATGCCGGGCAGTGGTGCTTACCCAATTGCTAGCCTGCAGCGCCTGCTTGCAAAGTCCTATGCTGTTCGCTGTCCTCTCCCTCAGTTTCTTCACAAGTGCCATGGCGTTTGGTGGCCCCTTTTTGGGGTCTGTTTGAACTTCATTGGCCTCTGCAGCCCTCAAGACAGTCGCCATGCGGGAGGCCTGCAGCTTGCCGTACTCACACTGCCGGGCTCGGGCCAGAATGCCTGTTTGCCTGAAGCCCATTCCATATTCCTTGTGTTGCTGAGGCAAGACATCTTTGAGCGAAGACGGAACACAGCAGCAAATGCAAGGCGCTGGAATTCGCCGCGTTGTCTGACGCAGTGCTCGCAGCGGCGCAGCCGCTGCGAGCACCTGTGGCGACAGCTGTGTCGTTATCATTTGTTATTTTTGAAAAATATTAGATTAATGATTGAAATGCCAGCCACATGGAACAATGTATGCGGGAGCCGGGGCCGACAGTAGAGACGCCTGTGGGGCCTCGCAACGCGTAACTCCCTTTGAGTGCAACTTTGCCTGCATTGTTTGTGTAAAGTATGCAGAATATGTCCTTCTGCGAGTCAATAAAAGTGGAACTGCATCCGCGGCGTTCCAGGGAAGCCTCCAGCGACCTACACTGAATGACTCAGCATCCGCCACCTAGAGATGACGGTGAACTGCGGGTTGGCCTGGCCACCATCAGTTTGTCTTTTCATTAGGAGGGCCTCAGTGCAATTCATCACTGTTTCAAACTGCAGCCGCTGCGGAGAACTACAGCTATCCTACCCTAGAGCACTCTCGGACCTTCAGGCGGCACCGCGACTGCTGCTGCTCGTTACGTGCAAAGTGCCAACTATGCTGCTCGCTTCTGCCCTGTAACAAACTGCCGACACTCTAGCGTGGAAACCAAGGTACTTGTCCTTCGGCGTGCACCGTGAAACGAAGAAGCGTTAAATAAGGCAGCGTTTTCCCCAGCGCCGTCTGCTGAGGCTCTCTCGAGGCCGCCCAGCTGACTGGAGGGCTCACAAGACTGAGTTCAGTCTTGCATGCAACCCTGGAAACTGAGGCGCGTGGCCCGCTTACTGGTCACCGCCGGCGTTGAGGATGTAAGTGACCCCGCAGCGGCCGCAGTAGTTGCGGTTTTCGTGCTGCGCCATGAAAACGCCACTCCCGCAGGTCTTTGAGGGGCACTCCTTGCGCAGTCGGGTCACTTTGTTGTTGTCGTCAACTTTGTAGAACTTCAGCACAGCAAGCTTCACCTTCTTGTTCTTGTGCTTTTGCTTCTTGGGCTTCGTGTAGGTCTTTCTCTTGCGCTTCTTGCCAGCCCCGAGAAGCTCTAGGCTTTGAAACAGAGTTGCCTCCTGTTCACAACTCATACACAAACAGCGGATATAGGCTGACCGCTAACTCCACATATAATTCATTATGAAATGTCACAATAAACCACTGGAATGCAAGCCATAGTGCACAACGGCGAATATAGCTGTTCTGCTAAATTCATGGCAAACCCATCATGACGTGAAATGAACGCATGCGCATTCCGTTCCAGAATGAGAAAAACTACGGGGAGAAAAAACTGGTTGGTTTCAGCAAAGTCCTTTTTCAGACAAACTAGCGAAATGAAAGACTCCTCATTGTCAGATGTCCCTATCTAGAACGTCATCAACAAAAGGTAATGCCGAAACCGGTGAAAGGTAATGGAACTTTAAAACCTACATGAAGCCCAAACATGACTAACGCACAGCCACTTCTCTCGACCAAATAAAGCCACAAGATGTCCACTGGAGACTGCAAATGCTCGCAGGTTCCGGCAGTTGTCCTTATCTCAGATAAGCTAGCGAAATGAAAGACTCCTCATTGTCAGATGTCCCTATCTGATATGTCATCAGAAGGAAACGCCGGAACAGCAACTGCTTTTAGAGCGTGGGCTATCAAGCAAACATAAACTACATGGAACTATCCATATATAGCAACCACTATCATAACAAAAAAGGAATGCTGCGTAAATGGCAACAACTCTCATGCATAACCGCCGTCGTTACTGTATTGTACAGAAAACGACACACCTCTTCAACACCAGCCTCCTCCAAAGTACAGGCGTCATCTACGGCTGAAACGCCGAAGAAAAGACGCTGCAATGACGCAGCAACACCTGCGGGACAAACAGAAGGCATTCTCAACCACACAAAATTTCCATTCGCATTTGTTCATGTACACCCGCAAATGTAGACCAGCGATCGACATTTCCAAGAAATGCCTCGACTAGCGCCCGTTCAGCGCCAGCACCAGACAAAAGTCTCATGCCAGCAACACCATCACTGCCCGCATAAGGAGCACTAAAGGCAACAAATGCCGGCAGACAGATAAAAGATGCTGCGGGGCTTCGTCGGTCCTGCGCCCGTAGGCAGGAAGCCTATGTACGCGCTCTAATACTCCGAGAGGGCAAATTTGGAAGCAATAACCCGCCTAAAGGAGGCGACAGTTTGAATGGCCTCCGCACTTTGTTGTGAGGCACAGCCGTTGCCCTCACCCACATGATAGCTGCAGGAGTGCAATCTAGGTCAGTGGTGAGCTTCCGCTGCCCCTAAAGTCCCCCGCAATGCTGGAAACAATGAAACGGGTTGAAAATATGCGAAAATTTCGCGAAAGATCAGCAGCGACGTACCTAATCGCGCCTCCAGGTGCTGCTTGAGCTCGAGCACCGTCGAGGTGGCGGACACCTCGACAGGCAAGGATTCCCCCGCATATGAACGCACGAAAATCTGCATTATGACGTACCACGGGGAAGCACAAATGTCAGAGCCCTTGCGTCGCCATTCTTGAGGTGAACTTCCATTAGCTGCAGGCTGCAGTGTGCGGGGCTCTGTGCTGCAGGACCCCGCAGGCGGTGGCCCCCAAAAGCCAGCCTATCGCCTGCTTGCATGCACGTAGGTAGGTCTTGTCTTCTCATTTGTAGCTGCAGCCAGCTGAAATTAATTGCCTCTTAGCACATTTTGTGTTTTCCTTCGTAGTGAATGCGGTATCCAGGGACTTCATCGACGTCGCTAGTGAAGAGGTGCACTGAGTGTGCAGATTTTGGCCCCAAACCAAAAGCCTTACTGAAAGGCTACTACTAACCGAGCACGCATTTTGTGAGTCACTCTTCTCAATGGCTTAATTGCATTACATCATAGTGAGAAAAAGCAGGGTTAGGTTGTTCACATGCCTTGGTTTCCCTAGAAAAGAGGCCTCACAGTCGTATCGGGGTCTCGTTTTTGGGTTTCCTTTTGGCGTCTCATTTCAGAGTTTCCTTTCGGGTTCTCGTTTTAGAAATTCCTTTTAGAGTACTCTTTCAAAGTCTCTTCGTTGGGTCTTCTCGGGTTTCTCTTCCGGGTTCCACTCTGCCGTTCCGTGGGTTAGGATCCCACCAAAACCAAAGTTGAACACAATTCGCCGCTAGAAAAGGTTGCTGTACTTCTTTCAAAATACCAGCAGCTTTTCCAGTGCACGCA